CAATTGATTAGTTCTAGTTTGCCTAATCATCATGCATTGTCTACAACAATCAAGACTATCCTCCACCGATAGCCCAAAACAGTTATTTCTAAACAGAAAATAAATGCACCAAATGGATAAAATATCAACATTTTGTCCAAGTGAGAGATAAATTAATCCAATTACACCCTTTAATCCCATAATATCCCAATTCCAATATTCTTAATTCAATTTCTCATACCTCAAAATTAATTATACAAATTAATTTTTTTACCAAACTAATTAGGGCATTATCCCATAATTCACATAACAACCCTAAGGTTTTATTTTCATCAATATTCCAACATTAGCTCCTTTTCTCAACGTATTACATACATATGGGTTTATATATATGAAACCCCCTCTTTTGTAAATTACACAAAGACCCCAAACTTATCAAAAATTACCCAACAACCCCTAACATATCAAAATACCAAAATTTAAAGACAAAACTCATAAGATGGAGTAGGATATCCCTACTTCGATGTTAGAGCTTAAACGGAGAAGAAAACCAAAACCCAAAGTGCTCCAAATCCGAGATTGTTTAGATTAAAACAAAGCCCTCGCGACCCTCTACCTTTCTTACAAAGCACTAAGGGTAGAAACACACTACAAATAGATGAAACCCTAGAGAGAAGATGTTTAGAGAGAGAGAGAGAGAGGACGGTTCTAGGGTTTTGAAATCAAAAAGGAAATGAAAAAGTGAACCTTTCCCCGCTGCTGCGTACTGATATAGCACAGGCTTGCTCGAACGAAGGATTGGTCGCTCGAACGACCAGACACAAAGAATCTTCGCTCGAGCATAGAAAGACTCGCTCGAGCCATCAAATCGAAGCCTCAGATCTGTAACCCAGAAGCACGCTCGAGCGCAAGAATGCTCGCTCGAGCAAAGGAACCCAAAACATACACCTCGCTCGCTCGAGCCAAGAAACACAGCTCTCAGGTTCGATGTTAGAGCTTAAACGGAGAAGAAAACCAAAACCCAAAGTGCTCCAAATCCGAGATTGTTTAGATTAAAACAAAGCCCTCGCGACCCTCTACCTTTCTTACAAAGCACTAAGGGTAGAAACACACTACAAATAGATGAAACCCTAGAGAGAAGATGTTTAGAGAGAGAGAGAGAGAGGACGGTTCTAGGGTTTTGAAATCAAAAAGGAAATGAAAAAGTGAACCTTTCCCCGCTGCTGCGTACTGATATAGCACAGGCTTGCTCGAACGAAGGATTGGTCGCTCGAACGACCAGACACAAAGAATCTTCGCTCGAGCATAGAAAGACTCACTCGAGCCATAAATCGAAGCCTCAGATCTGTAACCCAGAAGCACGCTCGAGCGCAAGAATGCTCGCTCGAGCGAAGGAACCCAAAACATACACCTCGCTCGCTCGAGCCAAGAAACACAGCTCTCAGGTCAAAATGAGACGCTGACGTAAGCTCGAGCGCAAGACTTCTCGCTCGAGCCACCAGACACAAGAACTTAACTCTTGCTCGAGCGAAGGAACCTTGGCTCGAGCGAAGGATCTAAAACACAGAGTCTCGCTCGAGCGACAAAGTCTCGCTCGAGCGAAGAACCAAAATTCTGGGCAGCAAACATTTGCTCCCAATCACTCCCAACCTGAAACAAACCTGCCCAACACATCCTATAACTCAAATACAAGGTATTGAAGGACAGAAACAAGATATAAATAACATTAACTCCACGGAACCTAAGTCTGGAATACAATAATCAAAGGAGAAAGAACCGGGATCGCTATAGTGCATGCCATTAGCCTTGTTAGGTTGTTCATGTTGCATTGCATGTTTGCATGCTTGTCTCTTGCATATTGTTCATATGCTTGTTTAAGTTGCATTCCATGCTTGCATGCTCAAGTCGCATTGTGTATGCCATGCTTTTTTTGCATTTTGTTTGGAATAGGTGTTAGTCCAAACACGGGAAACAAGGGACGTTTCATACTTAAAGTGATGAAACGTGCCTCAATTCCCGATCGCCGACGCTTTTGATCATGCATGATAGAGTTTTAGGCTTTATGTGTTTACTTGTGCATTCATTTTCATATTGAATTGTGCAACTTCGCCTCTCGGCCATCATGCATCGAAATGCGCGATTGGTGGCCCGAGGGTCGAAAACTACACTCCCTTGAGTTCATGACATGATAGGGAGGGTGGTTGTGCACATATATCTTGAAAATACATTGCCACGCCCTTTCTTTCTCTCTGTTGCAGCAAACTGGAATTCAGCAGCAACAACTGGTCGGCCAGCCAGAAAAACTTGCTGGCCGACCACTTTTTCTAGCTTTCAGCAAAGATAGGCGGTCGGTAGTGGCTGGTGGCACCCAAAAGTGGTCTCTGTTATTGTGGAAAATAAAGTTTCATTATTCTAATTTTTGTAAAATCCTAGTTTATCTCCTTAATCGTTCACAATTTACATTTTGTTTCAGTTGAATACAATCAAAATTTGATGCAAATTTTAAGACAAAATAAGTATAGACAGGAAATTTGAGTGATTTTCCTCTTTTACCATTATTTTATAGTCATATGCCTGTAACATTACTAACTTCTGTTAAAGACTTATATGATGGAGTAACAAAAAGGAGACATTGACACTTGACTAGAACTGCAGGGTGTTGATTGTCACGATTTCATAAGTGTAGTGTGTTAACTGTCACGATTTCATAAGTGTAGGGAGTTAACTGTCACGATTTCATGTGTAAGGATCAAAGTGGGATTTGACCAGAAGTGTAAGAGGTTGATTATCACAATTTTATGTGTAGGGACCAAAGTGAGATTTGATGCAAAGTGTAATTTACCTATTTATAAAGTCAAAATGATAGTTCTCAATAATTTAGGAATCTTCATGAAAATAACTCTATTAAAAAAGAGTTTTGCTACACCTCTTTAGAATCTTCCTAACAATCTTTGTAAAACAACAATACTACAAACACATCCTTATTAACTTAAAATTTACTCAGAAAAAGAAATCAATGGCTCAGATTCATTTTATATATGGACCCCACACTTCATCAATTCAATCTCCACTACACAAACACATTTGGGGTAAATTCAAGGTCCGTATGGGTGAGTTCCTAGCATTTTTCCTTAGTAAAAATATCCATGTCCAAATATCATTAGAGAGTATGCTAGAAATTCACACTTTTAGACCATATATTAACCCACAATGATGTGGCAAATGGGTGGGGTCCTAAATCATTGAATGTGTAACAAATCAAAAAATTGACAAATATATTATCAAATTGGTACAATTGTGGGAGTATTTTGTAGGTCTTAAACATTTTTCTATCACTGGAGGTTTAAATATTATTATTTTTTCACAACCAATCATATTTGATCATTTATATTTTTAGGACCATCTCCAACGTTGCATCTATTCTATCATTAAATTTAAATTTAATGAAAAATAATCCTTTTTGCTGCTCCAATCCTTTTATCAAAACAGTATCAAATCAAGGATATAGTAAATATTTCACCAAATTAAAGATGGATGTGCTTTTCATCAAATCACTATTCATAACTGTTGGTGCTGCAAGTCATTTTCACCACGGAACGACCGGCCGGATGTTCAGTCGGTTGTCCCTCCGGAAGACCACCTTCTTGCAAAAATTGGTGAAAAAAATTACACTGGTCAGTTGACCCGGTCGACCAATATTTTGATAAAAGTTTAAATCCTTTGTTAAAGACGTGATATCATATAAAATTTTTATTTAAATTCTTATTCAAAATAAAAAGATATATGGATGATTTGGGAAGTTAGTTAGAAGCTGACTTTTTTTTTTGTTGGTCTTTTTGTAAGTAAAAAATGTGAAAAATAATGTGACGTAAAATGGATTAAAAGTTAAAAGTTAACTTTTTACTAGCTCCCCAAAATGCCGCATAACGTTAGAGTTACACTAACAAGATTTTTTAGTAAGATTATTCATGTGTAAAGTAGGTGGTGAGCATGGTCCGGATTGATCTGAATTGGGGAAAAACCAAGACCAATCCGTTATTTACGATTCCTGAAGAATTGGAACCAATCCAAAAAAGCCAACAGAGCCCCAATATAAATGCTAGTATTTTTTAGTGGGCAAATTGGGTTGAAGAGTTATCTAGACTCAATTTGAGTTGTATTAAGTGTCACTACAAGAAATGTCACTTTTGGCTACCAAAATATTAGTCGCCAAAATTCCAATATTTAGTCGCCGAAACCATTTAGTAACTAAAATATTTTGTCGCCAAACTCGTCGCCTATACCCTGTCGGCGATAGTATTGGCGACTAAACTATTTTTGGTCGCTGAAAGTGAACGTTTTGGCTACTAAATTTTCGTTAGTCGGCAAAGGTTATGTTTTGGCGACTAAAATATTAGTAGCCAAAAGTAAGCATTTGGCTACGAAACTTTGAGTAGTCGGGAAAGGGGATATTTTGGCGACTAAATATTTAGTCGCCAAAAGTGTTCAAATAAAATTAATTAAATTTTCAGCGACTAAAACTTTTTGTCGTAGATAAGTTTTAGTCACAACATTACTACATTTAGGGACTAAAGAATTTAGTCGCCAAAAAAATTATTTTCATTTTATTAAACTTTTGGCTACTAACCATTTGGTAGCCAAAAGTCTTCATTATATTTTTAACTACTAAATTTTTAGTCACCAAAAATCTTTGGGTTCTTTATGACTACCAAATGTTTAGTCACTAAAAATATTGATTTCCTTTTTGGCTACCAATTGGTTAGTCACTAACAAATTCACTTCTTTTTTTTTTCGCTACTAAACATTTAATGGAAAAAACTTTATTTTGTGTTTTTTTTATTATAATTAATTTCTTCACAACCTGTATTTATTTAAACAAAATAATACATATATCTATTTCTATTTCATTTCAACAATACAAAAATTTGATCTTTTAACATCAAATTCTATACAAATCTGAATTATCCAACCCAAAATAATAATTCCATACAAACACAAAATCATACCAAAAAGATGTCCTCTGTACAAAAAATTCTACATCAAATGTCATTTACAGAATATTTTGAAGGTGTAAACATGATGGGAAAATTAAATTTATTTACTAAAACACTTGCTTAATTTAACAATGAAGCCATTGATCTAAACGCTTCTCATCCTTCAAGCTTGCTTCATATAGTTTGGTACCTTTCTTTCTGAAGACACCAACTGCAAAACTGTAATATGTAGTAATGCAATCAGAAAATCGAGAAATGGAATGGAAAGATGCAAGAACATTTTCCAATACACCCATTGCCCACGTCTTATAAAACATTGTAATAATCGCACCTTGAAATATAGTAGGAGGCTAAAAATCATTAAGTGATCTATAAGTAAATCCACAACTATCAATCATTAATCTAAGATGCAACAAAATTTGGTATTTTCTCAAGCATATCTTAGCAGTCAAAATCATTAACGCATAACTAAAAGATATATTTCATTTGACCATATTACTACAAATATTCGATTAACGTAATTTTTTTTAATAGTAGTCAATGAGCCTTGCATAATAAATAATTTAAATTATTAAAATTGTCTGAAATGGACTCAGTCAAGCTCTCATAGCAGCTTGTTGAATTAGATGTGCTCAAGTTTAGACCAAGTAGTAGAAATGGGTCTTCAATATGCAGAATGCCCAAAATTGACTTCTTTTCATATGATTAAACTAACCAACACATTCAAATAAGTACAAGAATCTGAGTGAGTTAGAGCATAAAATTGTCTTCAATCCACCTAGTTCCAACTAAATATGAATAAAATATATGGGGATTCATCAACGAATCAGAATTTAACCACAACATATCTCATCAATAAATGCATACAAACAAACACAATGGTGAGATTATATCCCAATTTTTGATAACCATGTTCCATGGGGCTTGGCTAATTATGCAGTGGTTTGATTTGCTATTAATGTCTATCTCTCTAATGATCTTCATTAATGTCTATCTCTCAGTAAAATCACAATACTCTGTAACAGAGTTACAATGGTGTACATATATTGGTGACCATGTTCAATTGTGAAAGCAGATTCAAACACTCCATGTTCCAATTGTTTCTGATAAATTTGTCACTTGAACATAGAATCAAACACTTGGTGGGCAAAAAATTTAACAATCCACATATCAAACAAACAATCACCTAAACCAATGATCCAAATTCAGAGTTTATGATCTAAATTTTCTAAATAATAATAGACCATAGATAATGAACCCAACAAAATACTAAAACCCAGATGAATTAAGCAAATGGCATTACTAATCCATAAAAAAATAAATGAAAACTTGGAAGAGTGGGCATGGTGCAAGAAGCGACGGGCTTGGGCAACTTCTCGACCTCGACAAGGCACGTACGGCAGTTTCCGGCAATGGAGAGGCGGCTGTGGTATCAGAATCTGGGAATTATCCAAAAAAAACTACAAATCAAACTCCTACTATTAATATACCCATTTTAGAAACCCATTCAAAAACATATAGAAGATAAGGGAGATAGATAGCGTCTAGAAATTGGAGAGAGAGAGAGAGAAACACTACTACAAATATAGATAAAGATCATACTTTTTTTGGGTGATGTATGTTTTTTAATCACACATTTTAAATTTTATTAAAGTGTGATCTTTGGGAGTGTGATTAAAAGGGGTCATTTTTAATCACACTTTTTAAGTGTCATTAAAAATGATTTCATCTCATCTTTTAAGTGTGATTAATAATATTTAGATCACATCTTTTAAGTGTGATTAAAAACATTTGGATCACATCTTTTAAGTGTGATTAATAACTAATAAAACCTGTGATAAAAAAAAGAATTCAACATATTTAAAGAATAATCAATATTAGTTTTGTACGCACGTTTGAATAATATAATACACACTACATACTATATATATTTCAAATCACAACCATATATTGAATGAAATAACATCATATATTTCATAAATAAAAATTAAATGTTCAACAGCATACACTTTAACTGTGATTACATATATTAAAGAATGAAAAAAAAAAAAAAGTATGACAACACATTAGATATTAAGGAATCAATCAGTTATGGAAATCAACCTAGTGGCGAGGAGTACGATATTAAGGAAGACCTGGAGAAGATATTAAGGAAGCACATTAGAAATTATAACTTCATCAGCTAAATAAACAAACAAGTATGACAACACGACAATGATATCACTTCTGTATCTCCACTAAAGGCATTGTTTAGATTTACTAAAAGAGAAGTAGAGTCTAGAGCAAAGTATCTTTTTGGATATTACTTTTACTCAGTTTTTCAAGTGGCATTTCCTACATATTGATCTCAAATTCCATCATTGCAGCTCTGCAATAGTTAAAAAGTTCTTGCAAAGACATTCTCTAAAAATTAAAATGCAAAGTAAATTGAATAAATAGTAAATATGTTACAACCTGTATGCATTAAAGAGCATCTTCATCAATTCTCCTAATGGGGGTGCAAGTTGGCTTCCTGCATCGTTAATATTTTTCTTCTTAGGGACCACCTCTTTATTGACCCCCCATAATCCTACAAAAACAAATATTCTGACATCAGAAAAAGAATACTAGATATGGGCCCAATAAGGGAGCTTAAACATTTGGAAAAAAAAAAAAAATTGGGAATATAAAATCAGCAGTACAATGTCCAAAGGAAAGAATCTGCCAAGTTTCTTCCCTTCCCATGCTTCCCATCAGTTCCCAATGTTTTCAAGGAATAGACGTTTGAATTCTCAAATTGCATCTGATTTTGACATATCTTCTAGTTTGCTTCCTCTAATTTTGTTGTTTCAACATGACCCCATTTGCAAAAAAACAAAACAACCTGAACCTTTATCCTCTTGAATGATTTAAAGGATATCGTAACTTCAAAGAGAAAAACAAACAAAAGTTTAGATTTATTAATACAAAAAAAAAGCACATGGAAATGAGGGCTCTAAAAAGGAAATATTATATCAATTCATAAGTCCATTCCACAACAAATTACAGTTAAGCAAATTCAAGTGAGGTAGAAATAGAATTTAGAAAGTAACCCCCCACCAAGTGATTCATATGTCGCATTTCTATGCAGTATGTCATCGTAGAGAATCCTCAATTCCATAGGAGTATAAACCAGTGTATTTGCAGGCACCATCACAATACATCCAAAGCATTTAGGTTTCCACTGGAAAGAGTATGCAGCTCTTAAACATGAAACTTAATCTTTTTTTAATTTAATTAAGATGAGTTTCAAATTTAAGATACTTCAAAATCACTGAGCTGCATTAGCAATTCAATTGCCGTGTCACATTGAAAATAAAAGGATAACTATGGAAATTCCCCCCCTCCCCAACCACCACACAAACAAACAAACAAACAGAGGGAGAAAAGAAAGAGAGAGAGAGAGAGAGAGAGAGAGAGAGATACTATATAATAATTAAAAGTAAAAAATTTGAAACAACTTGCTCACAGGTAATACCATGTAAATAGCATAGACTTTGTAATTCAAGTTCATCTTTGAGAATAGAGAATTGTAAGGTGACCACAACACAAAGGATTTTAAACCACAAAAAGCAACAACAATTTATATAATTAAGGTAAAAATGCTTCAAAAGAAGTATAAAAGAAATTACTTAGTTTAAAGGTCAGACATGTTCAAAGTTGTATTGTAAATGCTTTTTCCATCCTCAAGGATGTGGCCAGAATCTTGCAAGCCAGATGATTCATGTACAACATTTCGCCCTTTCACTTTAAGTGACCATGCTAGACTCTTCTCTGATGGCTTCAATTGTGTATAGATCAAAAGGAAGTTTTTGGTCTTTTGACACAATCAACCTGATAGTCCTCTCTAATGATAGGTATTTTCATCCTCCTGTTCCAATGAAACCACTACCAGTCAAGAAAATGACTAATAAATAACTACACTTAAAGGCCAGCAATTAGGCACAGCTTTACCTTTCCTTCCTCGTGTCAGCCTCTTTATTATCCAGCACTCCACTCACAACTAAGCAGTGTGTGTCTGTAATGTAATTTTTGAAGTAAAAGTGCCTAAACACATCTCAAATAAACGAGAAGAATTCAGAACTCAGTACATAGACCATATACCTTTCTTGATCTTATTATGAACATGTCCACCTGCTCCCTCAATTTTGCTCTCCCATTCATCCTGCACAATCACCCCTCAATAAGTGTTCTAAAGACAATCTAATGACAAACAATAGGAATAGACATAACTGGAATGGATTGACAAATAATGTGGGTGTTTGGGAAGTTGGCTATTTTAGTACCCCATTTAGTTTTTAGCTATTTTTTAGTAGGTTAAAATTTTTGTGCTTGGAAAGATGATTAGATTTTTTTGTAGTTAGATGTGATATTTGTAAGAGAAAAAGTAAAATGATTATGGGACTGCCCACAGGTGACTTAGTTGAACAAATAATTAGATCATTTAACAATTACATAGCAGTGTTCGGGTGCCCTGGTGCACTCTAATAAATAACCAAAGTTGTTCTCCCACCAAATATAATACATACACTTCACAGAATTGCCATTCATTCAACAACAAAACTACATCCTTTCTAATTACCAACTATGTCCAAAGTTAAAACAAAAAATTACAAGTAGTTACTCACACAACTACCACATATATCTCTACACCTCTACATATGCACATAAATGAGACAAATAGAGGCAAAAGAATATGTATATAACTACAAAAATGAACCGAGAAATAATTTGTTCCAAAAATATATATAATTATAAGATTGTGATTAAGCTCATAACCTAACCTTGAAGCAAAGCAGAATTCAAACATTCAGATAAGAATCAAAATCGATCAAACCATATAAAATCCAATCCATTTTAAAAATAAAAAATAAATCAAGAGCTAGGGTTTTACCCAATAGAGATGAAAGATTTAGAAAATAGCAAAAATCGGTGAGCTGAAAATGGTGAGAAGGAGAGGCAAATCGAAGAGTTGATAGAGGAGAGAGGCAAATCATACCAGAGAAAGAGTCAATTGGGGGGCGAAAATCATAGTGAACTTTGGTTCGTCTTCGTACAGCGGTTTGAGAGAGGGAGAGCCGGTGAGGGAGAAGGAAGACGCCGGTGAGGGAGAAGGGAGACGTCGGTGAGGAAGGAGCGACGTTGGCTATGAGAGAGCAGTAGTCGTGTGAGCAGAGCAGAGAGAGGCGATGTGTCTATGTGAGTGTGAACCTAACCCTAAAATAACTCAAAAAGAAAAAAGACATACATACATATAGAGAGGGGTATGGTAGTAATATACGTAATCACACTTATTTAAAATCAAATTAAAATGTTTTATACAATCACATATTTAGGGAGTGTGATTAAAAGTATATATATATATAATCACACTTATTTAAAAAGTGTGATTAAAAATAAATATTATTGTAGTAGTGTATATATAATCATACTTTAATTAGAAGTGTGATTAATATATATATATATAATCACACTTAATTAAAAGGTGATATAAAAAATAAATATTATCACACTCAATCTAATTTAATGTGATTAAAACATCAATCGAATTTTTTTTATCACATTTCTAATAAAAGTGATATAATTTTTTTTGTCAAAGTGTGATCTTTAACTATTTTTGTAATAGTGAAACCAACTTACCTGGTGAGAATGTAATAGTCGGCGGTAGCTACTTTGGATTTCAGGCGGTGGCGACTTTGGATTTACACAAAATTGTCCGTGAGGGAGGAGGAATGAGAAGGAGTTGTGTGTGAGAGTGAGATGAGAAACGGAGAAGGGTTAGGGCAAAATTTTGGGGGGAATCCTAGTCAAATTTTCAAGTGGAGACTAATGGTATTGTTGTTAATAAAATAAAATAACTATTTTGTTTAGTCAAATTTTCAAGTGGAGACTAATGGTATTGTTGTTAATAAAATAAAATAACTATTTTGTTTAGTCAAATTTTCAAGTGGAGACTAATGGTATTGTTGTTAATAAAATAAAATAACTATTTTGTTTAGTCAAATTTTCAAGTGGAGACTAATGGTATTGTTGTTAATAAAATAAAATAACTATTTTGTTTAGTCAAATTTTCAAGTGGAGACTAATGGTATTGTTGTTAATAAAATAAAATAACTATTTTGTTTAGTCAAATTTTCAAGTGGAGACTAATGGTATTGTTGTTAATAAAATAAAATAACTATTTTGTTTAGTCAAATTTTCAAGTGGAGACTAATGGTATTGTTGTTAATAAAATAAAATAACTATTTTGTTTAGTCAAATTTTCAAGTGGAGACTAATGGTATTGTTGTTAATAAAATAAAATAACTATTTTGTTTAGTCAAATTTTCAAGTGGAGACTAATGGTATTGTTGTTAATAAAATAAAATAACTATTTTGTTTAGTCAAATTTTCAAGTGGAGACTAATGGTATTGTTGTTAATAAAATAAAATAACTATTTTGTTTAGTCAAATTTTCAAGTGGAGACTAATGGTATTGTTGTTAATAAAATAAAATAACTATTTTGTTTAGTCAAATTTTCAAGTGGAGACTAATGGTATTGTTGTTAATAAAATAAAATAACTATTTTGTTTAGTCAAATTTTCAAGTGGAGACTAATGGTATTGTTGTTAATAAAATAAAATAACTATTTTGTTTAGTCAAATTTTCAAGTGGAGACTAATGGTATTGTTGTTAATAAAATAAAATAACTATTTTGTTTAGTCAAATTTTCAAGTGGAGACTAATGGTATTGTTGTTAATAAAATAAAATAACTATTTTGTTAATTTTTTTATTTTCATTCGGCTACCAAACAATTTAGTTGCCAGAAGTAGGTCTACAGTGACTAAAAGGAATTTTGTCGCCGAAAGTTAACATTTGGCGCGACCAAAATGTTGGTCGGCAAAGATTAAAAATTAAATTTTTTATTTTCATTTGGCTACCAAACAATTTAGTAGCCAAAAGTAGGTCTATAGCGACTAAAAGAAATTTTGTCGCCGAAACTTAACATTTGGCGACCAAAATTTTGGTCGGCAAAGATTAAAAATTAAATTTTTTATTTTCATTCGACTACCAAACAATTTAGTAGCTAAAGGTACCTCTACGGCTACTAAATTTTCTTTTAGTCACCAACTGTGATATGTTTAGCTACTAAAAAATTTTTTAGTCGCCAATTGTAATATTTTTAGCTACTAAATTTTTTTTAGTCGCTAATAATCAACATTCCCCTACTGAAAAAAATTAGTAGCTAAAAAGTTGACTTTTGCCGACTAATATTATTTTTGGTAGCCAATTCCGTGACTTTTGGCGACTAAATTGTTTTTGGTAGCCAAAAATGGTCGGCAAAAATGCATTTTCTTGTAGTGTGTTGTGTAGATTTGTCAAAATCCAACTTATAGCCCAAACTTGTATATTCAAACCCGACCCAATCACAATAGGCTTGAATTACTTACAAATTTAATTTAATTTTTTTTTTTTAAGAATTAGACTAATTAAATTATTAAAGTTGTATCCTATTTTATTTAAATAAAATCATTAATCATATCAAAATAAATAATTTACACGATAACAAAAAGATGGAAAAAATAAAATAAAGAATTAACAAATCGATGCGCTACCATAGAAGTATTTGCCATTTTCTAAGTAAAAAGACAAATAGTAAATTTTATATTGTGTTATTTATATATATAATATGTCTAATTAATAGAGCTGTGCTTGAGACCCTCAGTCTCCAAACACTCCCACCACCCCCATACACACATGGGGGTTGGTCATTGGATCCAAAAAAATATATATATATAGACCAATCACACCCCACTTAGAGGCCTAGGATATGAGGCATTAACATAATTAATATGATCCAAAAGCTGACAGTAGTTTAACATCATTAAACTATACTTTATAGTATTATATTTTTTTTTATTTACAATTTGAATTTAGGTTGCTCAGGTTATCCGGTGCTTTGATCCAAAGTCGTCAAAACTTAATTTAGGAAATATTTAGAATAATCTAAATAAATATATTTTTTTAATTTTTTATCAAAAAACGTAAAATATGAATTAGTTTGAAATAATGTGATAGAGAGGTAATATGCCTCAAATAAAATAATTATAATCTAAACAAAATAATATATTAAAATAACATATATTATTTTAGTACATGCCAAATACTCCCTTAGACTTTTAAATTTTTATCCAGCTCTGTACCAAAAATTCAAAAATATACAGTTTTAAGTCCTAAATTTTTTTGAACTCAACTCATGTTCGGGTAGACCCGGCCAAATTACATCCCTATCATCTAATGTCGCATCTATCTACGTATGCATGCATGGTTTTTTTCTTTTTTAACAATCCATACCTCTTAACACGTGCCATGCACGTGAATAAGTGGAAACGAGTAGGATGACATCAATGCATGTGACTTGTCTCTCTGCACTTGACACGTGGAGATTCTTTTCAATTGGCAAGTGGAAGAAGTACAAAGTTACAAGTAGGTAATGTCAAAAACTCTCTTTTGGCTCCTAGTCACTTTCAAACGAAACCTAACTATCTTTTTTTTTTATTAAAAACTTTTTATTTTTTTTCATAAAATCTCTTTATAAATGTAATGAAAAATTACAGCCCAAAAAAATAATAATAATAATTAAAGTTTGAATCTTATAATAAAATAAAATTTTAATTTTGTTAATTACAAACTTTATCTTTAGATTTATTTTCAATTTAAATTATTTACCTATTTTTATTATGTAGAATTGACAAAAAAAATAAAATTTTAGTCATTAAATTAAATGATAAATATATATATATATATTGCTGACATCGAGTATAATAATTAAAATAATAATTTTTTTCGATTTTAATTAACAAAAATAAACAAATGATTTAGATTGAAAATAACCTAAAAAATTAGTATTTAAATTGACAAAATGAAATATTAAAAATTTATTTTTAGAATTATGATTTGAGTGTGGAGTTGTGTTTTGAATTTTTTTAATCATGATTTGAAAAGAGAAAATTTGTTTGGTTGTAAGTTTTGAAAATAGTTTTGGAATGATTTGTAATTTTTTTTTTTTATTGTTGATTGATTGATATATAGAATATGAAAGAATGTGAGAGGAGGTAGGAGAGATAAGAGAGAAAAAGTGATTAATTGATTGAATAATAATAAATAAATAAATAAAAGAGAAGAGTTTTGAATTATATTTTAAAAATATGTTTGGTTAACATGTTTCATCCAAATTATGATTTAAAAACAGAGTTGATTGGAATCAAACTATGGGCCAGATCTGATGTTTCTACTATTTAAACATTGAAATTTTAGCAAATTTAATTATTTATTCTCTTTAATTTTAACTTTCTGTTTTTTAATGCTTAAAAACTAAACTTGCTTGATGATGAGATTTATTTTCAATTCTTTACACTATGGCATCATCTTCGGAAATTTGATGTACTTCATCCAAGTTTCCCGTGTTAATTCTTTGATTTTCTTTTGAAAGAAGTTTTAGCAAAACTACCAAAGAAACATTCAGTGGATTGAAAAACTCTACAAAGGTAAATTTAGCTGATCCTCACACAATTACTTGTCCCATTCTCTTCTCTGTTTTTTTTTTTTTTTTTTAATTTTAAAATTACACTATTACATCTTTTTGACTATGATATAGATAAAAAGTGAAGAACAAGATTAAAAAGCAAATTTGCACAGAAGAGTTGACCTTTTCATAACTAAAAGCATTTGCAAGTTGGGAAAATCATTTTCTCCCTTGAACAGTGTTATAAACACAGAATGAATCACAGAATTATCACAAAAAATGTAATTAATAACTAGAATTAAAATAAATTATTATGATTTCACCTTCAATGTAAATCTCAAAGAGGCCAATCCACCTTCTATGATCTATATTTATTTCTATTTTTTGTTCTTAGCATTAGCCAATTTTCTAAAGGTTTGCCTCCATGGAAATCTCAATAGGGCTGTCTCTACCAAAACTTGAACCTACACTTCTTCTCTTTGACCTCTCTAATATCATTCTTCAGTGCCTCCAAATTGCTCTTTATCACCTCCATGTCAATTGCCATGTTTGTCTCCAAGCTTTTGATGGTATCTGTAAGACTATTCAGCGAAGTTCCGAGCTCCTCCTTAGGCTTGG